CCACTTCAAATAGACGCGCTGCACGAGTGAATCCGGAACGAAAAGTGCCCACGACTCTAGTTGATCTCGCTCTCAACCGGGTACGACTCGTCACCTCCTCAAGGTTCTAAATTGAATACCATTTGGGTACTCCTTTTTGCGAGTTTGAGACGGTTTGAGACCCCAGAGACGGGCGAGAGAGCTGCTCTGTCTACTCTGTCGATGAGACATTGCATACCGCGGGGATGGACGGCTTGTAGGCGAGCGGCGACGTGGCTGAGGTCGACGGCCTGTGCCTTGAGGGCCTCGGGGGCTGGTCGGACCTCGGGTCGGACCTCGGGTCGGACCTCGGGTCGGACAGCAGCACGACGTACTGCTCGGGGTCGTGGCCGAGGCCCGGACGGCGCGGGCCACGCTCAGCGTGACGCTGGTGCCCGCGCCCGCCACCCTGGTGGTGCCGATGCAGGGCCTCTGTCCGATGCAGCGCCTCTGCTGCGGCCGAGTCGATGCGGTGCACCAGGATGTGACAGGCCTGCGAAGAAGGTCCAGCGTTTGTTACATTCGACCTGTTCTCAAAACTATACTTCTATAGAAAACCGATCGGCCCCACCCCACCCGAATTCATAATCCATTTTGTTTAAAATATAAGAGCCCAAATGCGTTTTGTGTTGGGGAAAAGTTAAGCGCGACTTAACTAAAATGACTAGCTTTTTTTGGCCATGTTTACACCTTTTGTCGTTGATTTGAAGTAGAACGATTGAGACACGGTCCCAAAAAGGACTTATTCGGAATCCTGGGAAGTTTTTGGCAATGTAATGCAACTTGACCGGATTCCTTGTAGCAAGTGGGGCCCTCAACTTTGAATCTCCGCAAGTATTTGAGACGGATGAAAGAGACTTTGACTGCACGGGTCAGGTCCAGAAGAGCCAAATAAATGAATGCGCTTCAATGCGCGTAGAACACAATGATCGCACACTCATTTGTGTGTGACATGGCGCGCACTTTTGAGTGCTCGAAATGTCACACACTTCTGCAGAGAACACGTTGGGGCGCCTTGAATGCATTACTGCGCAGTTGCGCGTCACCAAATGAATGTGTCACATTTAGTCCCCATTTCTACGCGCGTTGAAGCGCATTCAACGCGTTTCTCGCTCTTCGCTCCGGCAGCGATGGATGGACACCGCGTTCCCCACCTGAGAGCCGATCTGCAGCACGCCCTCGTGGATGCTCTTGGGGCCCAGCGCCCCCGGTGACCCGTAGACGTGCTTCTCGTCCTCCGGGGACGCGGCCTCGCCGGCGCCGCCCCAGCCGAACCCGGACCAGAACGGACTCGGCATCCTGCAACAGGAGGCCTCTGACTGTCAGGGAACAGAGACAGGCCAATGTGATGTCATGTGGCATCAAAGGGACTCATTTTGAAGACATTTTCACCCCCCCCCCTGCCGCAGCCGTGGGATCAGCCAGACAGCACGTCCTTCATTTCGCCGCTATGAACCTGCTAAGTTCAGCCTCTGCAAGCTTCCACACCGCCTGCTAGGTAGGCAACATAATGCCCGCGGTGCATGCGTGTATTGCGGAGTGGCCTACCCCGAGTCTCACAGGCGCTGGTGTAGGCCGCGCGTTGCACCCACTGACCGTTGCACCCAATAAACAAATGAGTGACTTGATGACGACATATAAAGTACCTAGTAACTTAGCCGAAACACCCCTAGAGCCCCCCCCCCCCAAACCAACACTGAAACTGCGCCCAGCGCCTGTGATTAGCCGAATGAATCTGAGAGAAACGGACGTGCTTTCTGGACGATCCCTTTCGGGCCCCTTGCCCCCTCTACCTGCAACGGTCAGTGGGTGCCACGCGCGGCCTACACCAGCGCCTGTGAGACTCGGGGTAGGCCACTCCGCAATCCACGCATGCACCGCGGGCATTATGTTGCCTACCTAGCAGGCGGTGTGGAAGCTTGCAGAGGCTGAACTTAGCAGGTTCATAGCGGCGAAATGAAGGACGTGCTGTCTGGGCCGGTGACGTCATGCGGTGGTTCACAATTGTACTTGCCAATCTCTGCCGCAAGAGCAGTGCGCCCCGGTGCGGCACCCTGTGGCACCCTGTGGCAGCCTGTGGCACCCTGTGGCACCCTGTGTAGGGCCGCCCTGAGGGCCGCCCTCCCTCCCGGTGTGGCGTGCCGGCCGCGGTGATTACCGCCAAGGCCAAGGCGTCGCGAGGCCGGGAGGGGGATGGGGCAGCACCCGCAGTGTTTATGCCGCATTTGCCGCTGATTTGGAGACGACCTTTCAGTGCACGCTCCACCCTCTGTGGATTCATTTGCCGTGCACGTTTCACAGATTTCTCCCCTCCCTAACTAACGGGCATGCACAACTATAATGTTTTACGTTGTAGTCCATAGGGTACAGACACGTTTATACGTTTCTTCTAGGGAAGCCTATTGCCCTCCGTGTCAACAGAAAGAGAGGAGAAATGTTGTCTCCCCTGGACATTTTGAAACTATATAGTATATTGTGAAAAACGCCCTGGAAGAAATTGAGGGTGTTGGGGTTGGGCTGACCCAACCCGACACTCTGGGTTCCCTTAGGTGTGATGCAATATGCAATATTGACTCTAAAGCAGACCCGGGTTGTGTCGAGGCTTGCGAAAATCTGAAATGGTAGGTGAAGAGTGACAGGTGACAGGTCTTATGAGAAGGACCGGCTAAACCCTCATTGGAGATTAGGATGAAGAAGTTTGCTGGGGCACATACAAACCCTATAATGCAGAAGAATCACATTTCCTCGGAACAAAATTATTGACCTATCCCATTTAGTGTGTGACGTTAACTTGTGCAGTCACTTCGCACGGGTCAAAGGACAGCGCCCGGCTAGCACAGCACCCCGACGTCGGCTGTCGCCCTCCCGCGGACACAGGGCGTGGTGGCGGGACACTCACCTGCCGCGCGGGCCGTGGAGTCCAGCTCTGCGGCGCCTGGCCCGCGGCCGCTAGCTCTACAGCCGGGGGCGCTAGCTGCGCTGGCCGGGGGCGCCCGCTGCAGCGGGGCTCGCGACTCGACTGTCCGGCGCTAGCACTGGGCTCCGGGGCCGCGCCACCGCCCTCCCCCCTCTCCCCACACGCTCGCACTCCCAAGGGGGGCGCTGTAGGGGAGCCCCCTAGCTCCCTCCCGCCAAAGGGGCGGGCTGGACAACATGGCAACTCCCCCTCCTCTCACCCAGGAGGACAGAAGCGGCTTTCGAACAATGGGTTCACAAAAAGCACACCCGATTTTCTCAGATTCATTGGGCACCTTACGGGAGCTCGGCGCCTGCGAGATTGAGGGTAGGCCAGCCCGTCGTACACGCATGCACCGAAAGCAAGATGTTGCCTACACATCAGGCACCATGCTTGCACAGTCGACGAAAGGCAGTTCGGTGCTCGTTACACATAATGTCCTTCAACATTTAGAGTGTATGTACTAAATTGGGCATAAAACTAAGTCGGTAAAGTGTGCCGACCCGTGTGTCGAGTCCAATGCACAGCAGTGTTGCGGGTTTGCCTACTCGCTCCACCCGCCAGGGGCCGTGGCCCCCCTAGAGTAGGCAAACCCGCACCGCAGCACTGTATTGGACTCGACACGGCACGTACCTATCGCCCTGACGCCCGGCCCGGCCAGCGGCCCGGCCAGCGCAGTCTATATATAGCAACGGCACGCCACGGCCGTCAATGGAAACGCTTGAGTGATAACACGGGAATATTTGCGCCCCCCATACGGTCTGCAAGGAGGGGGGGGGGGATACCAGTGGCCGTCAGGCACGGTGAAAGGTCCAGCTGACAAAGGGAATCGATGCACTGTCGGTGAAATTATTTCATCGTCACGGATAAAATTTGGATTGCAGAGCTAAAGCTTCATCGGTTTTGCGTTTTTTGTTGTCTAGACTAAACAGTCTTCCGAAGGTGCAGGGTGCAGGGTCCCCTCCCCTCCTCCGGCAACTTAAATGAGAGTGAGTGAGGGGGGTGGGGGTGTCAAACGGGGAGCGTGGCAACAACACGCTGCAGTAGAACGCCGATCCTCACTCGATCTGCCAACATGCCGCCGGTCACAATAAACAAAGAATACAGAGGGGGGG